ATAGAATGAAATAAAATATTTCAGACGGAAGCAGAGGAAGAAGTTTTGAATAAGAAACATTCGAAAAAAACTGAAGCAAAATACAAAGCAAGACAACGATTTGCTAAAGTAGAACCTGCCTTGGAAGAACAGTTTTCAACAGGACGAGTCCTTGGTATTATATCTTAATAATTTTGTATTATTATTATATACATTTTTATATTACATATATCTAAATGATATTAATTTTAATTGCAGCTTGCATATCCAGTCGACCTGGACAGTGTGGAAGAGCTGACGGTTATATTCTAGAAGGTAAAGAACTAGAGTTCTACCTGAGAAAAATTAAGAGCAAGAAAGCAAAATAAAAATGTTGGTTTTAAATAAAGAAATCTTCCAATGATAAAATGTGTAAAATAATTTTTTTCTGTCCGAATTTTGTGCTCTTTTATATAATACTGAGTGTTATTCTTGCATATAATCTTTAGAATAAACTTTGAAATATTTATTTTTGTTACTTTATTATTTTATTTTTCAAGATAAAGTTTATGATTGTTTATACTACACAAGTAAAGTAAACATCATCTGTATAGTAATATGTTTATTCCGAGTTTATTTAATCTTTAAATTTGTCTTTACAGCAATATAAAGTTTTTATATATTTAATTTACTTTTATATAATATACTTGCTTAACCATTAGTATTTACATACATACACATTTTTATAAAATTACTTTTTTCTTCAATTTTAAGATATTTTACTGAATGCATCATGAATATACAATAAAATATTTAACGTCTGCAATTATCCTATTTTAATTGCTAATATCAATACATAATTGACAAGATGTATGTAGACAAAATTATTTAAAATCAACTTACACAATGTGTAGTGAACTATATTATTGATTGCAAATAGTTTTAACCTAATATCTATTAATAAAAGACCTTAATTATTTTCATTTTTAGAACACGAAACATAATGAGATTTTGATAATCCAGGTGATTTATTACGCGGTAAAGAATAAACTCTGCACGCAGGAGTACATACTTTCGTATTATTACTCTGAAAACAATAAAAAAAATTTAATAGAATGATAGTAATATTGCAAGGATAACATTTAAAAATGATAACACTTCAAATTTTTGAGAGTTAAGAGCATATGTTGTAAGCCTTGCATATATTTGATTTGTTAAATTATCAAAGTATTTTCAAGAGTCAATAAAATTATAAGTTATTCTTTTTTTAAATGAATATACTATATAATAACTTATTGTGAATTAGGTGATACCTTGGTAAAAAATACACTTTATTTTTTTTTCTCTTCTTTGAATTATTAAGTATGTTGTCTACATTAATAATTCCATTTTATCATATTGATACGCGTTAAGCCAGTGTTGAAATATATGAATAGAAATCTGTTACTGTAAAAAGCAAATATTATTATATAAAGTATCTTTAGAGTAATACTTTTTTTTAGTATTTTTGGCTTTCAACATTACAGACTTACACCAATGACTCTATGCCCTCTTTACGTTTTATGATGCATGTTGCACATTTATCATAAGCTTGGGCATCACCTGTTGTTGACTTGATCCTACAGACGAAGTTGTAACAATTGTAGTAAAAGAAGGTTTTTGGGCACACGTTCTCATATGGGTTGTCCAATGAGATTGTTGACATGCGTAATCACAATAAGCTGTATTCCAGCAACAATAAAATAATGCTTCACGATGACACATAGCACACCATTGTTTACGTTTTGTCTCCTCGATACATCTTATTTTTTCTTGTTCCATTTCTCGTCGAGTTTCTTCAACAGCTCGAAGTTGTTCTGCTTCTAGGCCTGCTTTCATTTCTCGTAACATACGATCTAAAATTGTAAGTTTTAAAGCACATGTTATTATGTGTACATCTTTCATACTAAAATATTACAAAAAATAATTAAGTACCAGTATTATGTTTTAGTTCTGCCAATTGTTGTTGATGTTGCCACCTCATTCGTTCAATCTGTAATCGTAAAAAATGTACTGTAGCATGATGCTTATCAGTAGTATCATCTTCAGAGTTTTGACTGTTGTGAGCAGCTTCTTGATATGCTTCCTCCATTAATTGAGCCATTCTTTTTGCTAACTCTTCAGCACCATGATATAAACGAGCACTAAGAGGCCCAGCTTCAGGAGGAAGTAATTGATATTCAATAACATTTTCTTTTTGTGGAGTTGGATTATAGATTATCGATTCTATTGAACTAGGTAATGTATTTGATGATGAATGAAGTGTTATTTGTGGATAAATAGGTGGTTTATTAGGAAAAGATTTTCTTGCTTTGCTCTCTCTTTTTTGTTCTTTTGAAACTGGTTTCGTAATCATGTAACTTTCTTTATTTGTTAAATTATCCTCTGTTAATATAGACTGTTGTACTATATCTGTTGATTTGTTACACGTTGCAGGTGTTGTTTGACCTATTGTTGAATTTGATACAGAAGATCTAGTGTTATTTTGTGTTATGGTAGTAAATGTAGAAACGGATGAAGTGACAGTTCCATTTGTTGTTTTATTCAACAGATCATGTTTATCAGTTTGTGATAAAGATCGAGTAACTTGAACGATTGATTCTATGCTCGGCGATCCCATTTTATTTTTTTGTTCATTTTCGGATAAAAATTTTAAAGCTTTTTCTGCATTTAATTTATCAACCAACCTCGTTTTTGGTTTATAAACTTTAGCCGTATTTTTAGTGGGCTTTGACGCTACTTTTAAAATTTCAGATGTATTACTTTTGCTGTTAGTAGTTTTCACAGTGGAATGTTTCTTTGATACCTGTTCCAGTTTTGGTGATTCACTTGGTTTTAAAATTTGATCGGTAGATGTTAAACTATCATGTGTAATATGTAAGTTATTTCTCAATAAAGGTACATTAGATTCATTAGATCTTTGTACACGTGTATTTGTATTATTTTCTTCAATGTTCTTTCGATCTGATTTAATAAGTTCATTATCTTCTGCTAATGAAACATCTTCTATAGATGTCTTGTTTTCTATGTTAATCACTTTTTTTTGCAATTCACTTTGTGGTATATCTAAATTAATACTGTTGTCTGAACTTGGTGAAGATTGATTGGATCTGGTTAATTTTTGTATTTTATTTCGGGATTTATTTTCATCATCAGAAGCAGTTGTATCAGAATCAAGTTTACTATCATTAGCAGAAGCCTCAGTTTGTGATTTATCCTTGATAGAAAGATTACGTTTTCGAAAAGCAGCCTTCTTTTTAGGTACCAAAAATTCTGAAGATGTACAATTATTTGGTTGAAGAGGATCATAATTTGGTAGCATAAGTTTGATTTGCATTGGATCGTGCGGATTGTATTGTATTTTTGGAGGTGCAAATTTAAATTTACCAAATACAAGTTCTAGTTTTCGACAATGCCGGGTAATTTCTCTAACGCATTCATCCATATCTACTTTTCTTTTGCGAGGCAATGGAGCAGGTGGATCTTCAGAATATAAAAAAAGATCTCGAGGTTGTATCCATGCTCGATCATGTTCACCAAAAAAACGAACATCTACAGAACCTTTTGCATTTAACCGTGGCATAGCTTTAGCAGGCCAGAAAGGGAAACCTTTTAATTTAGCCCATACAAGAGGATGTGGTTGACGGCAAGGTTCAATAAACCATGATGGTTGTGGCCTAGGTAAGTTACGCGAATGTGCATAACAATCTGGACAAGCCTCAATTTCTGCTACCTCATGGCGTGCCAATTTAATTATTTGTTTTGCAATATTGGTTAATTTAGATGTATCAGCATAAAGTCCACCGCCTATAAAAGAATATATTTATTAGGATTACTTTATAACATTATAATGCATATATAATTATAATCTATCTTACATACATGTATTATAGACAATACAATTATGCTGTATCCATTTTGCATCAGACATAAATGCATCAGTACTTCCATAAAGTTTTGAACGTACATTAGATTCTAAAAGATTTAAATCCATTGGTTTAAAAACATAATCCAAATAATTTGGAGTTTCATTGATTTCTACAGGTTTCCAAAATGGTTCAGACTAGAAAAGTATATTAATTGATTGATAAAAGGAAAATATTTAAAACATTTTAAATGAATAAGTAATAACGATAAAGGATAAACTTAGATAATGATTTAGTAAAATAAGAACATAGGAAATTATATTCATACATACGCCAGAATATTCACGCATTTTTTGAACTACATGTTTAAGCAACATACACAATTGATCAACTGATAACTGTGCCATTGCCGCAGAACGTGTTTCTGCATTTTCTGCTTTCAATATTGTAGCACATTCGCCACAAATCCAGTTATGAACAGAAGTCGGTGGCGTACCACCTAAACATCTACGATGCCATGATCGCGGACAGGCACTACAGAGTGCTTCTGTTGATTCTTTGTGGCACCTCCAACAAAATTTATCATTTGTATTTTTAAATTTTTTTCGTTTATTTCTAACTCCATTCTCTTCAGAAGACGAAGCACTTTCTTGTGTACTGTAAATCATTATTAAAATGTCGATAAAAAGTAATGACAGTGAAAAGAATTAAAAATAATTAAGAATGTAAAAATTACCTTAAATTTCCACGCTTTCTTTTGATATTATAAATACTCTTTTCATCTGTTATATCTTCTGTAGTATCTTCTTCACCACTCTCTTTCGCAGTATTTGCATTTGATGACGTATTTTCTGTTAAATTTTCATTTTTCTCTTCCTTTCTTGCTTCTTTTATTTGGATATTATTTTGCACATTAATACTCGATTCAATGATATCTTCTGAATCACTTTCATTTTCTGTCTTAACACAACTTGTATTTGCAGTAATGTTTTCTGCATTAATTTCATTTTCTGCATCTTTAATAGTATTGACTTTATCTACATCTTGTTTTTCTTTCTGAGTAGTATTTGTAATGTCAACTTTATGAGTATTTTCTAATGAAGAATCATTTTTTGATTCATTTGAAACTGAACATTGGGTTTTTCCTTCTATTAATTTAATATCATCATTCAATTTAGTTGAAGAATCCATATTTACTTTTGCAGTTTCTAAATGAAACAGTAAATGAAGATTAATTATTTTTCTTTTATATTTCTAATAATATAAACATTAAAATATTTTATATATGTTATAAATTTATAAATTATAGTCACACACCCATTCACATATATAAGACGTCCCAGGTTTTATGACTAAACTTTGTCAGTACATTCTATGAGTCTAAATGAGAAAGAAATATTCTATAAACAGGGTCGTTTAAAGCCTAATTAAAAAGTTACGATAAAAATAAGAATTACGCAGAGAACAGTAACAAACAGATAACAGTCTGTCATGAAGTTACTATAATACAATATAGGAATAGATTAACAATATTTACGTTGAATCATAACATGAACAGATTCTTACATTGTATTATAATGATTGCACCTCAGACTGCTATTTATTACTGTACTGTATATAATCCTTATTTTTGTCGTAACTTTTTAAATAAAGCTTTAAACGACCTATGTTTATAGCAAATTTCTTTCTTATTTAGACCCATACAATATACAATATAGTTTGTCTTTTAAAACCTGAGTTACCTTGTATAAAATAATAATTATATCTGAAATAGATGAATAATAGTATATGACACAACAGAATATCACGAGAACGTTAGATATAGCAAAATAATATAATTAATGAAATAATTGTGTAAAAAGAAAACATATGTGCAGCTTGATATTATTAAATCATATCCATAAATACACACAAATACTTTACACATTTACATATATATTAGATAATTTCTACAAACCAGTTGGAATGGTATTGATTTTTGGAAAAGTAGATATTATTAATTTACAGGCAGTATTATATATAACATCATACTGAAGGAATATATACAGAAATATACTTGAAAAGAAAAATGAACTAGCTACATAATGCATGTTATCTACATATTTAATCAGTGGTTTAAGCAGTACTGAACACTGTATTGTATTAAAAATAAAAAAATAAAAAATAAACTTACATTTAAAACAATGAAATTTAATCGTATTTCGTCTATAATATCATGGTAAGTAGTATATTCATATAGTATGATGTACAAATCGTTCATATATCCCATTCACGTATATATATGTATCTCAGACCTATATGTATATGTATAAAAATACTCATAGAAGTTGTGCTTTGTTATGAAAAATGTAGAGAAAGCAGATACTTTCTAGACAATTTTTATGGCAATTTGTCAATTTAAGGATGAATTTCATATTGATAATTATAATTTTGTTAAAGATATTACCTACCACATAATATGAATAGTTGTGAATTAAAAGCGACAACACCAACTCACACGACTTTACCCTAGAGATCTGTTTCCTTTTCCTATATGCCAACTTTGCCTCTTTAGTGCTTCCATCTTTTGACGATGTATTGAGTTGATAATGATCACGTGATATTTTGTTAAGACATATTTCATAACTATTTTTCCAAATTATGAAAGTTGTCAATTCTGTAAATAATATAAAATATTGTTATTAATACCACGATATCAATATGTTTCTTTCAAAAGATTACAGATAGGAAAAATATATTCCGATAGAAATGTCAACATTGAGGTTAGAGTTTTTTTTTAAAATGAACAACGCATCGATTTAATAAATTATACAAAATTCATAATACCGTGTTCTTAATTATCGAAGATGCTATCGTTGATTATATATATTCGTCTTTATTTTTCTCATTATTATCCTTCGTTGATTTCTTTAAATTAACACAATTTAATGCTACGAAGTAATCGATTGTATAACTGTTGAAACATATAATTTATCAAAATAACTTCCAAATAAAAAATTGAATAAATATTTGTTAATATATACATATATGTATTTATATATACATTTATATATTTACACACACACATATATATAATATATGTATATATATGTATATTTAACATAATTTAACTTACAAGTATTATTGAATTAATTTAATAGTGTACGCCATTTAAGCACTATAGTAAACATAGCAAATGACAAGTGAGGTTAGTGAAAGAATTGTCACGTGACTATTCTAATCTCTCGTTAAATACACATACACACAACATATATCTCTTGATCACCACTACGAAGAAAGTAGCATGCAAACTTTCTCTCTCTCTCTCTCTGAATAATAAAGTTAACAGATTCTTAAGTAGAGAGAAATATATAAACAAAGCGTATGTATTAATGATAACAAGATATAAACAATTACGATCAATTTATTGTTTAAAGTCCCATCTGAACTCATCAAATACGTCTATTTTTCATCGATAACAATGTATTGTAACATTGCTAGGTTATGTTGATCTGTCAAAAATCTATTCCATTATTTGTTAACAAATATAAAACTTAAAGTTGGTATAAAATGGAATGCGGACATTTAATTTTGATTCCGAAAGTCGATAATGTTGTATTAATTGATAAAAGTGATGCTAATAATAAAAGTTTAGAAGGAACATTGTGTATTAGTAGCCACAATCTTATTTTATCTTCAAGACAAGGTGATGGACAGGAACTATGGGTGAGATTTTTATAATAAAATTAAATTAAATTGATCACAATAAATATTATATAAATATTAGTATTATATTGTTTGTGTTATAAACACGACTAATATATTATTTACTTTTTTAGCTTATATATAGGAATATCGATGTAATAGAAAAGAAATTAAATACTCAAAGTCCTGGAGGAAGTATCATACTAAAATGTAAAGATTTTCGTGTGCTTCAACTGGATATTAATTCTACCGATGATTTAATCAGTGTTATGTTATCTATAGAAAGATTAGCATCGTTAGGTAGCTACATTTAAATTTATCATTTTTAATGTATAACATTTTATTCATTGTTATTATATAATGCATTTTATATTTTCACAGAACAAACACTTCAGTATCCCTTTTTCTATAAACCAAAAGCAACAAATAATATTGTACAAATAGAAGATGGATGGACAGCATTTGCTCCTGTTTCAGAATGGTCTAGATTATTAGCTGCATATGCAGATGAATGGAGGATCAGTTATTTGAATTTGGATTACAAAGTTTGTAACTCTTATCCATCAGCTGTTATTGTACCTAGACATATAGAAGATAAGGTTATAATATCTTCTGCTAGTTTTCGGGATGGTGGTAGATTTCCTGTTTTATGTTACAGACATGAAGGCGGGGTAAGAATAATGGAATCGATGATATTTGATTATTATTACAAAAATATTAAAATAATTAATTTGATATATTTTATTTTTATAGAGTGTTTTATTAAGAAGTGGCCAGCCAATGTGCGGTGCTACTGGTAAAAGATGTAAAGAAGATGAAAGGTTATTAAATGCGGTTCTAAGGCCTGGAAGACGAGGGTATGTATTAATCATTGGAATCAGATAATTCAACTACAATTTAGAATGATTGAATGGAAACTTATTGCCAGGTATATAGTAGATACGAGATCTGTTACCCAAGCTCAAAGTTCAAGAGCAAAGGGTGGTGGAACAGAAATGGATGCTGCTTATCCTCAATGGAGAAAAGTACATAAAGTAGTGCCACGGCCTCACGATTTAGCAGACAGCTTTTTTAAATTAATAGATGCTTGTAATGATGTAACTTGTTCTACATCACAATGGTTGTCTAGACTTGAAAGCAGTGGATGGTTAACTGCCATTCAAGGTGCTTTAAATGCTGCTTGCGTGACTGCTCAATGTCTTCATCAGGAAGTTGCAGCTGTATTAGTACATGGTATGAAAAATAAATATATTATTTACAATTATAAATATATTTAATATAACACACAAATGAATATAAATATATATATATATTTATTAATTTTTTGCCTATATCGTAGGAAGTGCAGGTAGAGATTCAACACTAGTTGTAACAAGTTTGGCGCAAGCTATACTAAATCCTGATTGTCGTACCGTACGTGGTCTGCAAGCTCTTATAGAAAGAGAATGGTTACAAGCTGGTCATCAGTTTTTTACTCGTACACGACACGGACCTTATCACCCTTCTCATTCTCAAAGTCTAACACATGCTCCAACATTTTTACTTTTCCTTGATTGTCTTTATCAACTTTATTATCAATTTCAATTTAGTTTCGAATACAGGGTTGATTTATTGATAGAGTTGTATAGACATAGCTACTATTCAGAATATGGAACATTTTTAGGTATATTATTAATAAATTTATACAATTCTCGCAAAATACTTTGATATATTATAATTATATACTATTTGTAGGTGATTCAGAAGCAGAAAGGGTTCAACTTGAACTGTCTGAACATACTTGTAGCTTATGGTCTTACATGAATCAACCAGAAGTATTAGAAAAATGGTTAAATCCTTTATACGATCCAAATCCAGGAGTTATTTGGCCTAGTGTTGCACCTATCAGTATTCAATTATGGAAAGAACTGTATCTTGCACACACCAATGCTTCATCTTGGGATGGTGCTCTTTCTTGTGCAAAACAAATAAAACAAAACCATTTAGCTGTGAAAAAAGTAGCTCTACAATTACATGCACAAATTAAACGTGCATTAGAGGACATTCGAAAAGATCCTGATATGTCTTTCGATTTTGATGTTCAGGAAGGACATACTCTTGTAGCACAATTAAGTTTAGAGTCCCAAAGCACTTGATATAAATTATAATCATCTAAAAAAAGAGAGAAAAGAAATACCTTCATTTTGTAAATTTAAGTTTATCTGATATAATAATATTTACTGCTAAGTAATTGTCACATTTGCCAGGAGATCCATGTTCATACTTCCTATTATATAATTGTATAATTATATTTATTTAATTAATGTTTTTTATACACTTTAATTATATCTAAAATAGTATATTATCTTCGGCGAAGATTTAAAAAAAACATATATATAAAAATATATATATAAATATGAAATAATTAAATTATATAATATATAAATAGATAAACATTTTAGCAATTCACTTTCTTTTATCTATTTCGAAGATCTATTAGTTTTGATGCTAGCAGTTTGGAATGGTTTACGATTCTTAGCTCTTATTTTTACTGAAGCGATTGATTTTTTTTTCGATGGTGTTAGCAATACATTTGAAAATTATATTGTAAATTTCAATATAATAGAATTCAATGCAAAGAAATAAGAAAAACAAAAAACATTAGGAGTAAACGAATATTGTGATATTTTAAATGTTATTCTAGAATTACGAATGCGTACATAACAAAATTTAATAATCGACTATTCTTTTCTTCCACTAAAGTAAATAACTTTTTAATTGACAATATATATATATATATATATATATATAAAATTTATGTATATAACCATAAATAAAATAGTAGTATGTATAATCGTTCTTCAAATTGTTTATTTGAGATTATATCGTACAAAGTTTTAATATATATGTATATATATACAAGTATTTACCGTTATTCGGTACGAGAGCGGGGTAGAATTGATGTTTCCAAGGGAAAGGGAAAAAGATTGGAGGGGAACACGGCAGGTGTTCGTACACAAAGAAACTAAAAAGAATCCCACGGCGATCGGCTTGAATTGTGAGAATCTTTCGTTTATTTGCTAGGTTTTCTGGTAAGAATGTACAAAATTTTGCTTTAATATTTTATAGTTTTCTCTTTATTATATACTAAAAAATATAATATATATGTATTTTCTTTTTATAATAGGAACAAGCGTAATCAATTTCGAAGTATGTATATAGTTATACATGCGTTGCTTGGAATTTTTATACATTTCGGAGATAATTCAATTCACATGTTAAATATTAAAAATATAATAAATAGTGTTTTTGTACAAATAGTATCAATTGATGAATAATTTATCTGAGAAAAGTAATTAGGTCGAATATAAACCCCGGTATCCTTGGATGAGTGTGGATCTAGTCACGAATAAAATAAAAAAACGTGGACTGAATTCAAACCCATCCAAGGCCGCCGGATAATAGATTTTTTTTCAGTAATTGCTACTCTAAAGCAAAAAAAGAAAGAACTTTTCGTAGATGTAAGTAATCTCGAGAAGAATCAAACACCACTAACTCCGTCAATAGTCACAACGTAGAATGATACGTTTGTAAATGGTGTGTAGTGAAAATTATGGTAGGGGAATTGAGAGAAGGGGACTTGGAAGTTTACGCTCCCTACTCCTTAAACCAGTAAAACCCTTAGAAGTGGGGGAAGGGCCCCTTAAGAATCACAAAGCAGATTTACATGGAACATCTCACTTGGAATTAAATGATGATTGCTGACATTGAAAATTCATTATAGAGTGTTGATTTTTTAGTTTATAATTATACTACATCTTTTTAATTAAATTAAAATTTAATTTAATTAAATTTAAGTTAATCTTTAGATTCGTTTTTCATTTATTTCAATATATACAAATATTTATATTAAAATTTTCTTAACAATTTTAACACACAGATAAAATAAAAATCAAAACCTTAATTCTCTGGATAAGGTAAATTAAATATATTTGTTGGAGTGTGTCAAGTGTAGTATATATAAACCTAAGTGTTTATCATTTTGCTTACTTATCTCTCTCATTATACAAGGTATATAATGACTAGGATTATCACTATGCATGTAAACAACATACCACCGACTAAAATAAAGCCATCTTGACGAGCTCTATATTCTATAAGCCTCATAGTTGTATTTGAAAGACCTAAAGTATTACCAATATCTATCAAACGTTTGTGAGCTCCTTTTAAAGTAATTCTTTGTGATCTTAAATTATCTAAGATTCCTGTTCCATGCGAAATAAGGTCATCTACACCATTTACTGCATTTCGTAAACTATAATTATGTTGCATATTATGGTCTATCATAATATCAATGTGATCATTCGCAGTAAATGTTTGTGACAACAATGCTTCGCGTTCTGCTTCTTCTCTTTCCTTTTTAATTAATTGGTTTCTCCAAGTATTCAATGCGGCACTTAGATGACGACTGTCATATTTCAGTTGATCAACTCTCATTTTAGCATTTTGTCTTTTGAAAGGCGAAACAGATGAAATGGGTCCTTTTAAGCAAAGCACGTCAAGTCGTTCACAGTTACTGAAAGTATATGTTAAAAATTACGCGTTCAATAAAAGAATTATAAATTATTACTTCAAAAAAAAAAAAGAATTGGTAAGTGCAACAATAAAATTGTTGCCTTGACTACCTGTTGATGAGACTGATTTTGGATTCTATGGCTTTTTCTATTTCTTTTAAATCCTGTTTGTTAAAAGACTTTTTTTCCAACTGTGTAAAAAGATGCTGCGTTTCTTGAACCAATTTATTTGTTTGATGATACAACGTTTCCATATTTCATATAAATTTATTTCAATATTCTTTTGTATAACTAAATTGCAATAGTAATTACAGGGTAAATTTGTGACGTGTACCTACAAAAATGCATTAAATAAATCCAAGTAGAAAAGAAGCGACATCTTTGTTATGACATACATATTACAAATTGCAATCGCAGATAAATTTGAATCAACAATAACAAATTAAAATAATTTCAATGAATACAGTGCAAATTGTAATTATTTGTTTTCCATTAGTTCTTTGATTTTTAAATGATACAATTTGTCCAACATTTATTTAAAAATCATATTGTTTGATATATATAAAAAATTCTCTTACTATACGAACGAAAGTTTACAGCGCCATCTTGTTATTATAATTAATGACGCTTTCTGAGGTGACATCGTGCTAAATGTATCTATGTAAATAAAGAAAATCATTTTAGTACATATTTTTGATATGGATATTGGTGAATTATTATCTTATAAGGTAATTTCTATAAATTACATATATGTTACATAGAAAATGTAAATATAATAAAATTGTATATTCAATTACATTGTTAGTGACAAATTTAACCTTTTTAAATTGTTTTTATTATAATTTATTTGAATGTATTTTCTTTATTATTTGATTTGATTATAAAATCTTCTGTTTTTTTAATACATGAATATTATTTATCTAGCCACCTAATACACCAAAGCGTCCTGCAATTGGAGAAGAAGATGACGACGAAGAATGGGAGAGTTCTAGGAAACCAAAGAAAGTTATTAAAACACCGTACCATGCACGTCAAAGACAAATAAGAGAGACAGATGTTACTCCAATTAGAAATAATGAACCTCCAACTCCAATAAGGGCTGCATTACCTTCACCTGCAAATGACGTGATTGAACCACAGTTAACGGAAAAAGAAAAACAAGATATTTTAAAATATGTAGAGACTGAAGCACCTGAAGTAGAAGCATTGGATGAAGCTACGTTAAAAAGAATGGTATTATTATTCGAAAAACGAGCTCTTAGAAATCAAGAAATGAGAGTTAAATTTCCGGATCAGCCGGAAAAGTAAGTTAAATGTATTTTGATTGAACTTTTCGATCTATACCTAGTTTACAAGTCTTTTGATAGTTTTTATGAAAATATATAGGTTTATAGAGTCCGAAGTAGAACTGCATGAAACGCTTCAAGAATTACACGTTGTTGCGACTAATCCAGATCTTTATCCATTGATGGTAGAACTTGGTGCAGTGCCATCGTTACTTGAATTATTATCTCATGAAAATACAGATATAGCAGTTGGCATAGTAGATCTTTTACAAGAACTTACAGACGTTGACATTTTACATGAGAGTCAAGAAGGAGCTGATACCCTCATAGATGCTTTATTAGAACAGCAAGTTAGTGCTCTTCTAGTACAGAATTTAGAAAGGTTAGATGAAAATGTAAAAGAAGAAAGCGATGGAGTACATAATACACTTGGTATGTATTATTTTGTATGCATTTAGAATATGTTTGCGTAATTATATTATATCTATTGTTTGTATTACAGCCATATTTGAAAACTTATTAGAATTTAGACCAGAATTATGTACCGATGCTGGAAAGCAAGGTTTAATGCAGTGGCTATTGCGTAGAATTAAAGCAAAAATGCCGTTTGATGGAAATAAACTTTATGCCAGTGAACTTTTATCAATTCTTGTACAAAACACACCTGAAAATAGACTGCTTTTGGGTGATCTCGATGGTATTGATGTACTGTTACAACAGTTAGCTGTATGTTCTATTTTTTATTCATTATATATTTTTGTTATTTATATTTATTTAGATTTAATTAAATATTGTCGTGTTATTTTAATATTGCTTATCATTGACAGTATTATAAAAGACATGATCCTCAAACTGCTGAAGAACAAGAAATGATGGAAAATTTATTTAATGTCTTATGTTCGAGTTTAATGGCTACTGTAAATAGAGATAGATTTTTACGCGGTGAAGGATTACAGTTAATGAATTTAATGTTGCGAGAAAAAAAAATGTCACGTAATGGTTCTCTTAAGGTATGTTTTTCTTATTTTTATTTTTTTAATTTTTTTATGAGATAAAGCATAGTAGATGAAAATATTGTAGGTCTTAGATCATGCTATGAATGGACCTGACGGTAAAGATAATTGTAGCAAATTTGTTGATATACTTGGACTTAGAACAATTTTCCCCCTTTTTATGAAAACTCCAACTAAAAATAGGAAACGAATGCTTACAGCAGAAGAACATGAAGGTAAAAAATTATAAGATTGATTAATTTTCTACAAAAGATTTGTTTTTTATAAAATTAAATCATTTTACAGAACATGTATTATCGATAATAGCAAGTATGTTAAGAAACTGTAAAGGACAACAACGTCAAAGATTGCTTAGTAAATTTACAGAAAATGATTATGAAAAAGTGGATAGATTAATGGAATTACATTTTAAATATTTAGAGAAAGTGGAAGAAGTTGAAAAAGCTGCTAAGGTTAATAATACAATCAAATATAAATTTTATATATTAAAATTGATTGCTGTTATGTAAAATTAATTAATTATATTATTCTCTTAAAATTTAGGATGATGAAGACGAAGAAGAGTCTTATCTTAGACGATTAGATGGAGGATTATTTATATTACAACTGGTAGATTATGTTCTTTTAGAAGCTTGTACTGGTTGTCCTCCTGCAGTCAAACAAAGAGTTACAAGAATTTTAGCTCAAAGACGAGCATCTCTTAAAACTATCAGACATATTATGAGAGGTAAAAGTATAAGTATAAAATTTTATAAAAATATTTAAGAAATGCACTTATTCTTTATTAATAATAAATATATGTTTATGATTACATAGAGTACGCTGGAAATCTTGGAGATGCTGGAGACACGGAATGGAGGGAAGCAGAGCAGCAACACATATTGCAATTAATCGATAAATTTTGATTTATATATATATTTAAACTTTCAATATAAATGTAATAAATTTAATTTTATTAAAAAAGAAAAATGTTCAAATATATGTGATATATTTGAATAGCAAAAGATATGTGTATAACACATTATAATAATATAAGCAAACGATTCCATATCAAACTATAAATTATACTGAATTTAAGAAAAAAAGTTTTTGTATCACATACTAGTCGAAGATAAATGAATTTTCATTCAATTATTTATATAAAGACTATTTGATAATTCTTTAGAATACAAAAAAGTAACTATAAGATCGATTTTTTATCGTAACGAACAATTTTGTATATTAGGCCCTAAATTCAAGTGATATCAATTTTTTGTTAGTATTAACCGTTTATCTTTCTAGGATAAGATGCTCATTTTACATTAATAGATTATCGAGTAAAAACACCCTAAAGTACACAAATAAAATGGAAGAAATTACGTTGGTCATACAAAAATGTTTGAACATTGACCGTTATGTCGATCTTAAACAAAATAGTTAGAATTTTGCGTGATATTTTATGCGTTTACGAATCATACGATACGTCTTATGAAATCAAAAGATATCAGAATGGTGCATTGCTTGACTCTTTATGCATCAAGAATTTTGGAAAGAAGCAATTTGGCCTATTCAATTGTATTATCAAGACAAACAATACGAAGGAAACTCGAGGGTTCTACGAACGTGATAATATATTATATTTTCAGAAGCACTCACTACAATTTGTGCTGCATTTAGAATTTTGTGTGTGTCAGGTGAGTTTAAGAGTTTTATTCATATTTTTATAGTATCAATACATACTATAAACAATTAACGCAGTGACTAGAACAACGTAATGATTCCAAAATCTTTAAATAATGACAGATACGATAGTATACAAATTTATAAGGCATATTTTATCTATACATATGTTCGTCAAAATACTCGTTTATATTTTGCCGCGTACAAAATTTTTTAAAGGGAAGTGCATGTGCAATCCCTTATACTTTCTCGTTTCCATGACAACCCACGTGGGCGCATGCGCATTTCATCGATTTATTCGTGTAGCAGAAAGCTCGTTCGGGTTCGTGAGAAAAAGAGAGAGAGAAATACGAAAAAGCTAAGATGCATAACGTGCAGTGTAGCTGGGAGTGCTAACAGTAGCTGGAATGGAGAAGAATTGATATTTATTTTTCGTTTCCTTAGTTTATTTTCAAATAGTTCGTAGGATGGTATACGCGTACGTTTTATACTTCGATTTCATGTCGTGAAATAGAAACGCCGGGTTTATTGGTGGGGTCAACGTACCGTATACGATCGATCGTGATTGGTCGTTTGCGGTGACGTTAACCAATCAGCTTGCACGTTACCTCCTTACACGAAAGTTAGCTGCACGAGTGAGCCAGTCGCTGCTACAAGCTTCGAAGGTGCGGTCTTTATGTTTGTGTCGTCGCGACTCGTGCTGTGTTTTGCGAGTTTTTCTCTTTCTCTTTTACCTATTTGTTTTTTTTTCTTTTTTTCGTTCACCGTTTATACGACACATTGCGTCAACGATAAAGCATTATCAACGAAAAAAAAACTTTTACGTGTTGACGACATTTCATCTTTGTGCATCTCGTGTCGTGACAGAGACAATAATTATCTTTGCTGAAAAAGTCGGGACATAATCCAGGACGACTGATCCTGAATATTTGATTACGGGAAAAGCACTACGGTAAGTCAATTTTATAACTTCTCTTCTTTATATTTTATTCAATTTATTCTCTATATATGTATATATATCTTTTATAAATATCTTGTTTATTTATTTTATCATTACAATTTATTTTTTAATATTCACCGATTTTCGGATATAACAGCGACATTTTTCTCTTATTTTTTCCTACTCATAAATGTATTATTTAGTGCAAACTTCAAGTGCTCCTCTAGCTCGATTATAAATCATATTATTTAGAATTTGATACATTGCGTATACGTTAAGCGTTTTAATTGTATAATTGAAAATAGATAGTTCTCTTATCTTTCGAGCTAATTCAATATGCTGAATAATATGAGATACCGAAGTTATTTCGTAATATCGAACAAAATATTACATATATACGTAAAGCTGTATCGTTTAGTGTATTCTTTAAATGGCATAAATTAAAAAATTATTTGGTTATATTTTAGAAGTATTGGTGATGTCGTTAGACGCGAAAATTCGAATGGTTATATATTATTAAATCTCTTTGATGTAATATGCATTACAAGACGTAAAATCTATTAAAGCTAGAAAAAATTAAATTTCTGTGACACTTAAAAATTATTTGAATTCACTATACTTGATATTTTCATAACATCGTTGTACAAAACAAATATTTTGATTTTAATCCTAACATATATATCGAACCTTGAATTAATATTTTCTTATTATATTAATAAATAAAATAAAAAATTACTACAGGTACACGACGATCATAAGCAATTTTAAGATTTTATTTTATTTTTTATTTTTATTTATGAGTTAGCTGGTATCAATTGGTATTTAATCGTGTGTAAAATATATTTAGTGCTTTTTCTCAAATACGAAAAGTATGAAAGCGAAACAAAGGTAAAAAATTAATCATTAGAAATTGTTAAATATATGCTATTTAATTTTAACGATGCGTAGCAAAATTAACTTTAAATAGATAGAAGGACAATGTGTGCATATATGCATACAATTAGCTAACTAGCTAGTTAGCTATCTGATTGCTTTGAGAATTTTTGAATGCTAATAATTTCGTCACATTTTCTCAAATAGGATTGCTGTTAGATTAGACGAATTTTGAGTAATGTTTAAAACGTAACATTGAAAGAAGACCTGGCTCTTACAATTAGTAAGGTTTCATATTAGATTCCATCTAAAAAGGATATGCGCGCGCATGCACCCATCACCCGTCCAACCGCGCGCTATTCAATCCATTTAAAGCCGATTTATATGCGACAAAAATGTAAAATAGACTTTGACTTACATACAATATACATACATTTACTAAGGTTGATATAAAAATTCTTAGGTCAATAAAATATCTATATGCAGAGAGTGGCCCTAAAGTTTTTATAAATGATTTTACGAATTAATTATTTTTTAAAGATTTTTTAGATTAATTATGTTTTTTCTTTTAGATTGTAAAATTACAATCCTAACTATAATCATAAAAGATTTCGAAGAAGAGTAATTGATTCATAAAATCGTCTAGAAACTTTTGAACCGTATATGGATATGTATATGTATTATAATCTCCTACTTTATAGTTCATTTCATTTAATAGTAAAGATAATTTTGTTAGTAAAAGAACAAGGAAAGGTCCTAATATATTATATTGTACGTTATCGATCCTGTGTGTCGGTGCAATATACAATGTTGCATCATCAGTATGGACGCTGCAGACGTTCTATGACCTTGACAAGCAACAGCAATATGGTCTAATGTCACAGAATAAAAGTCGACTATGTGTTAGACAATAGGTTGGCATATTTGGTTGGTAAAGATCGGTGTCAAGGTAATAATCTTTTTTAAATATTTGCTTTAATTTTCTCTCTCTTTTCACGCTTTTATTGAAGGTAAACAAGTCGAGAAATTGAAAGTATTGGTTAAATGATAATAATTTGTTTTAATAATAATGTTTCATTAATATAGAAATGATTTCGTATTAATTATAACTCATTTAAATAATAGATCTATCGACTTGATAATTTCATATCGTAATAAGGCGAGGAGCAATTATTTTTCTAATTTTCTTTATGATTATAGTTAATTTTGGTTTTGTTATTTTTTATTATGTTAGAGAAAAATAAGAAAAAGAATTATGATGAATAAATGTTTCACGTGCATTTGTATCTTCTAAGCAACATGACTCGTCTATGTAAAAAAATAATGAGCTGCGTTGGTGCAGTTGATGTTGTAATCCTTATTTTATGCGATGCGATACATTCCTGTGGCAATTTTGCGATTAGTTCATTAGAAAGATATATTCCTTCGAATATATGTTTGTATATATACGCACTCGTGTGCGATAAGCTCATCTCTCTAACATAAATGATTATCTTTCTAATTATATAATTTTGATTGTTTCATGGCGCGAGAAGCTTAAGATAAATATATCATTTCTTTTTCTTAATTTTCTTTTATATTTATTTTTATTTTTTAAATCGAACATATTTTTTCCATTTTCATTGATGAGTCGCTACATGTGTATAGCAGTTTGAAAATTTGTTTGCAATTGAATTTCATTGGTTGAAGCGTTAGGCAACGCCCCACTCTTGCTTGTATAATTTTATATTCATACGTATTTTCCTTCTTGTTTCCTCATTGGCAGAAAGGTTCACATCTATTAAGCAGATGCGTAATAAAGAAAGAAAACAGGGCACATCAAAACAGAGAAGGATAGAATGATAAAGTATTGTTATTAAATGTTTTAATTTTTAATCTACGATTGATTATGAAATATAATTTCGTCCATCGTAAATTTGGAATCATATGACTAGGTCACACAAAGATCCTACTCTGTGGACTTTGAGAACATTATAAGTGGGGATAGGCGGAGCGAACTTGCCCATGCGCCTCCCAAAATTGCAATGTAGTTTTCAGATAACTATATCTAATATAAGTATATTATATTCCCGTTGTTAGAAAATATGGTATACATTTCATAATTATTTTTGGCCGAATTTATTGTTGCATTTACAAAATTTAAGATACAAAGTATTTTTAATGAAATTAAAACTTGGCTTTGTTTAAAGCTTTTTTGGACATGTCTTAATATTAGGATCAAGAGATAAAATTTGAAGATGTTTTTTGTCTTATTTATTTAAAGTTAAATTAAAAAATGCACTCACCAGAGATGTAAAATAACGATTATCCTAATATACATATATACACATATGTATTTCCGTACACGTAGATATCTTATTTTCGATTTCATGGAAAGCCTGTAGGTACGACAACTAAAGATCTACTCTTACCCGTAGGTTGGAAAAATGTTAAAAGTACCGGCGAAGGAAACCCTGCGGCAACGTTTACGCTTTTATCGATCAAACTGCCCCAGATTCTCGCAGAAATTCTTGATATTGTTGAACCATCTGTTTCTCCTCAAAAAAAAAGCTTATATTTTTACTCATATATAATTAAGAATAATACATCTTAAGAAATTAATCTTTCCCTTTATTTCGACAAAAGTACGGGGCTTTTTTTTTTCTTTTTCATATTTCCAATACATTTCAATCTTTATTTTTAACTCATATCTTTGATTATTCAATTAATAAAAGAGTAATGCACTTTTCTTAGACTTGTCTTCTTTCATAAAAGAGAACATACGATGAAAGAATAAGTTTTTTTTAGTGCGATAAAACACTTATTTTTTTTTTTTTTATAGAGAATAATATAAAACGCATTGTCGTTTTATATGATCGTTAATATCGAAAGAGCTCTTTTTATTTTTTCCTACATTTGCACGTTTGGTGTCTCGACCTTAAGTAAATCTTCTCGAAGAACACTCTGCTAGCTACTCTCAAGACGGAAAAAGCACTGAGCTTGCTACTCGAGTCGTGATTTCACGAGTGCTTTTCTGGTACATGCAAAGAGATCTTTTTGTTAACTTTATAATGATTTTTAGGTCGACTTTAGAATAATTAATCGATTGCAATAGGAAGAATTTTAAGATTGTATTCTTTTTTAAAATTTTTCATTTATCATGTTATGTAATAAATTACGAGTAAGAATAGGATATTCGACAAGTTTTTAGATGATTTAAAAAATGAGTTACTCCTTTTCGAGATATTTTTAGGCTAATTTATTTCTATTCAGATAAAGTTACAAGTTGTTATACAATCAAAAAGGAATTAGCCTAAAAAGGTTTTCTCTCTAAAGTAATTAATTTTAAAAATTACCTAAGAACTTTTGGTTCATCTAAACATTTTTAGCTCATATTATATTTATAACGAAAAAATTGAAAGAAGAGGGGAGGGGTAGGAGAACGAAGAAATAATTAACTATGTCTCTTAGAATTTTCTCTGAGCAAATGTTGGAAGAAGTTGACGATTAATAAATAATTATACGTAAATAATTTAGTATCTGATATTATGCATGCAGTAATAGTCTGCATAATTATTTCCAGAGGTTATACTGTCATTTCGTTATTACCACATTTACATGTAACATTGCATTATTTATGCTAACGTTCTAACATTAGCGAATAAATTATCTGCGCGTTCATAAAATTCATAAATGTCTTATGACACTTTAATGCTCAAATTCTCCTAACATATATTTTCTAAATATTATTTATGCATATGTACTAACGTAAGTAAATAAGTATGCACGTATATTTATGTAGTTATGACCCAGAAGTTTAAAACCACTTTCAAAATTGATTTCGTAGCGTCCAAAAAAAGAATAGAGGTAGTTGTTGCTAAGAGGATTCAAATTGGGCCAGGTTGAGGTCACGAAGTTTGATATATGTATTACGGATAATATATATATTTCGGGCATTGTATAAAATACCCAGAGTGTTTTGGTCAGTTTATAAAATGTGTTTCCTTGTCAAAAAAATTAAACTATTCTTAATAGTTTATATATGAAATTTAGAAGTACTGTATGCATATATCACGTGGTTGAAAACATTTTTCTTTAAGTACTACTTTTGATACTTTCAATACCTTCGACGATAATAATTTCCTTTTTGTTCCACGCTA